GGTGGGATATTTGATTATCTTCCTATAACCAATTCTATAACAAATTCTATTTGTATCAAAGTATTGTTTCATCTTATAGCACAGGAATTTACCAATGATTACATTTTCTCATTAAATAAAGAGTAACGTCATACCTTTTCGTATCAGTAGTTACATGCCATAGTTTGCATTTTTATTTATTTATTTTTTTACAAAAATATCTGCTATCATTAAAAAAAAAAAGAAGCCAAATGGTTTCCTTTTGGTTACTGAGGTTATGTTTATGGTTAGATTTAGTTCTAGGCATAGCATTAATTGACTTCATTAATAATAAAGGAAGGCGAGAAGTGTGAATGTGTGTGTGTGTGTGTGTGTGTGTGTGTGTGTGTGTGTGTGTGCATGCGTGATCTCAGCATTCTGTTGGGTATTCCCACTAAATATTTTTGCTTCTTGTGATTAATTTACAAAGCCATGGAAACACACTTCTGTTATTCACCCCTCAGACATACACAAATGCTCCTGTATTGCCTTTTCTAAGCATATTGTACTGAACTACAGTGCAGCCCATTAATCATCAGACAAGGGCACAAAGTTTTTTATCCAGTATAATGGATTTTTAATAAAACAATGACTATGAAGATAAAAAGCATCTTTAATTTATGTACTTTCAATATGTGCTTTACCTAAACTATGCAACAGATCTTTTCTTCTGATGACCTTCTTCTGGTTGTCTTGTGCTTATTTATTTGTATGATTTTACTTTAGCTTTGGAATTTGTTAGTGTGCATTGTTTGATAAAAAAAATCATTACATTATGATTACATATCGTTACATTATGATAAATGCTTGTGCTTCTGTGAGTGTGCATTGTTGAAAGTTGTTGAATAATGAACTTCAGATTTGGACTAATTTGAGGATATTTATGTCTGTCTTAGGTGAACTATAGAGCAATTACTGCTTTTTACTGCTTTTTTTCTACACAGCATTTCCATTTTCTAATGGAAAAAAAATCACATGGAACATTTTTATGGAAGCGGGTATGCACTGCTTATTTTAGAAAATAGACTGGTAGAACATTGGAGACTAAAGTAATGGGAGCTTGAATAAGAAAGACTATTATTCATTTGTGTTTATGCACAGGACAGCAACCTGGGAGCACAGAAGAAGTCCTATAATTTTATATAAATCATACCACAGGATAATGGTGATAATTTGGATGCAAAACAGATTCACACCTTTTATGGAGAAATACTTTCTTTTCAAATATTATTGAAAGAATTTAATTCTTTTTGTATAGCACTGTCATGTCTGGGGGCATGTAGACTGATAGGCATGTGTGTGCAATTGTGCCGTGTGATGGGTTGGCACTCTGTCTGGGGTGTCCCCCAGCTTGTGTCCTGAGTCCTCTGGGATAGGCTCCAGGTTACCCCATGACCCTGTGTAGGATAAGCGGTACAGAGAATGGATGGGTGGACTGTCATGTCTATGCCGGAATCGGCAAGGAACTCCAACGTCCCAGACTGCTCCCTGAACTACAAATATGGCCGCAATGATCTCCAGTTCTCAGTGCACACACTCATTGAGTGCGTCTCCATCAGCTCCCTAGCTCCATAGGTCGTGAATCAGTATGTTGTGTACACGAGTTCGGACACTGGTGAGGACCCTGGCTCACTACACATTGGGATAATTATGACCCAATTTCCAGTGACATGACTACCTACTCCCATTGTAAAATGTCACCTCTGGCATTTATCCTCAACAGGCAGGACCGATATCTTTCTGACCTTATATGTTGTATAAATTTGTTAGCTTAATCACATGCGTTTTTGTCATGGTACTTCAAGCAGGATCGTAGGCTAGCTAGAGGATTTTTTAAAATCATTAAACAATTGAAAGTCCTTAGACTCAAACAAACCGTATATAGAACAACAAATAAAGTTCAAAATCGCTGATGTAAGTAATCATTTGAGAGCTACAACAATGACAACAAGCTACTTACATTTGTAGACAAATTTGGCTGAGAGTTCGTCTGCCATTTTTCAAGCTGAAAGGCTTCAGAAAATACGACGTCATTTCCAGTAAGGAAACACAGTGAGCATCGATGCTCCATGGTTTGTGTGGTGTGCTGTGGGATTTTTTTATGGAGCAAATGTTCCAGTGCACTGGAAGGATTTTGCGATTGAGACAGCCCTGAAAATGGCCGACTCCCTGATCAGTGCCCTGAACTATAGAGATGATTGAGATGTACCTATTGTAATGCTCACAGTCCCCCAGCACCAAAACAGCAAACGTGAAAAAAAAAGCGAATTATGGTTCAGTGTTTTTGTTCCTGTCATGCCAAGCCTTATTCACTGTGTTATTCAGATTTTGCTATTGTCCTTCAGTTTTGAGATTCCGGTTTTCCTAATTTGTTCTGTATGCTTATCGCCTGACCTTTGCACGTTTTTGACCACTGTTTTTGTCCCACATTTCTGGATTGTGTGCTACCTGCATATTGTTTAAAAAGCACATATTTTTGCAACTGCATCCACTTCTGCTGCATGACAAGGACGTTTGATCATTACAGCAAAATATGTTCATTTCCATAGTTTAGGCATTACTCTATCAGTCCCTGGTGGCCTAGTGGCAAAGGCTCCTGTGCGCTCACTGCCGTGGCCTGGGTTCAATACCCAGGCAGGGAACCAACCCAACAACTGGAAGTGTACTCAAGAATCTTTATCAGGAAAGGATCTTTTGATGCCAAAACTGATAAATATAATCTCTGAACACCCAACTGTAGTGGAATTTATTAGAAACATGTTTAAATCATATTTCTATAATGTCAATGTTGAGAACTCCGTATAATAACATGTAAACTGTGTATTTCTATTCCCACAAGGGGCTTTATTTTTCATTCTTTTAGTAGAGTTGTGTGTAAATGGTTTCACACAAGTTTCGGTAATACTGATCTTCATGTGTGTATGGTAATAAATGCCAATCAATGCTGTAAATTACCAAGCATGTTCACGTCACAGCTAATTTACATTTAGCCATTCCCACAGAACTGCATTTAAGTCAAAGCTCACAGAAAAAAAAGGTGACTAAAGAATGAAATAATGCGTTGCAGTGTGCCAACTACCAGAGAAATTTATATAAAAGGAGCGCGTGTCTCCTTTTATGTAAATTCACTCAAAATCAGGAGCATAGGATTCAAAGGTTTTTCCAAATTAACTGTTTTTTTGTTTGTTTTTTTAAATGTATACCACATTCCTTATGTACAGCAAATGTGCCCGTGGAAAATTTTACAATTAAATTCGTTCATATCCAGCTTCCTCTTCCTAAATCCCAATTTAACCTGACAATCACCAAAACCACACTGCCAAAGCAGCCATGTCATTTTCAGGGGACAAAATTAAATTTTTTTGACTGGCTGCTGAACTGCATTTCAATTCCTGAAGATAAGACTGAAGGCAGAAGACAAACAATTATCGAAAATGGATCCATTAAGGATCTGGCAGCATATCACCAGAAAAGATAGCCAGCATCTGGAAATGAATATGAGTCACAAACAACAACAGACAGCACATATGTAAACCTGGTACACACACAGGCAGACCTTCTCTAGGGAAGATATTCAACATCTGGTGATGAATATAGCTCATAGAGTTCAGGCAGTCAAAAGTTGCACCTATGACACATTACAAACTTATTTATGAATATATTGACTTGTTCCATTGTTCACAGTCTCCTGAAGTGTGTATGGTGTTTATAATAGACCTTTATTTCCATATTCGACTAACTTAAAAACTAGAAAAAAATAAATTAGTAAGTGTGGCATGTGCAAAAATCTGGATATTCTACTAAGTTAGTGTTTAGTAACATCCCCTTTGGCAGATATCGCTGCTTATGCTTCTTCTAGCCAGCTAGGTTTACTGAAATCTATTCTTTCATCTTTCTATGCAATGTTTCCCATGCCACTGGCTGCCACACAACCCCAAAGCATAACAGATCCACTTCCATGCTCAACAGGGTTCTTTTTATCAAATGCTGCTCTTTTTTCTCCAAACATATCTTTGTTGTTTGTGAGTTCCGTTTTTTACTTCATCAATCCACAGCACTTGTTTCCAAAATGCCTTTGGCGTATCTAGATGTCGTTTTGTATACATCAGAAGTTGACTGTTGTGATTAGTTCACAGGTAAGATTTCCTTCTGATGACTCTTCCATGCAGATCATGTTGGTGCAAGGAGTGCTGCAGAGTAGAATGGTGCACCACTTCTGTGTCAGGTGAACCTTCCTGTTAGTCCTTAGTATCATATGAGGGAATTGCTTTGCACTTCTGCTGAGTATAAGGGTTTTCTTGGTCTTGCTTGATCTTGCTTGACTTCCACATTTCTCATTAACTGCCATTTCTTAATGATATTTCAAACAGTGGAAATTGTGAGCTGGAAGCAATTTGAAATCTTTTTATAGCCTTCCGCTTTGTAGACATCAAATAGCTTCATTTTCTGATCCTCAGTCAGCTGTATAGAGGAGCCCATGGTTGCGGAATGTTAGAGCAAGGTTTAAAGAATTGTTTAAAGAATTGCCTAATGAGTCTTAATGGGTCAATTAAGGCCTAACAACTTAATTAAGTTCTGAGGCTTTACTTTTGCACATGCCAATTACTATTTTTTTTATTTATTTTCAATTTTTTAAAGTTCATCTATTATAAAGTAATTGTGCATTTGCAGAAATTTTTTATTTAAAAAAATAGCTTGCTGCAGAGGTTGTGTTTACTTCTTTTCACGCCAAAAATCAATAAAATATGTAATTTGGCCTGGGTTGCCCAAACCTTTGCAAACAACTGTATATTTCCTCCTCTAACACACCACACAAGCCTACTGGTAATTAGCTGATGAGATAAATCAAGAGGGCTAAATGAGGTAGAAGGCTAAACTCTGCAGTGTGGTGGCCTCCCAGGACTAGAGCTTGACAGTCTAGTAATAAGGTCTCAGGAAATTATTAGCATGCCTTTCATTTCACATTCTTTTTGGCCCCTGTTTAAAGAGGACATTTTATATCTGCATAATCTAATTGCGTAGTTATAATGTACATTTGCATGTTATACTTTTATAATTTCAATTTTATTAATAAATTCACACTCTGCTTGCTGAAACAAGTAAGTAAATCTCTTGAAATTGCAAATTCTAACTTTTCACTTAATCCCATGATTCTATTTGCAAGAAGATATTATTTTATTACTGTTTATACATGACAAGAACAAGAATTTTACATTAATGATTTTATTTATTACTTATAGCTAGTTGAAACAAGCAAACTAAACAAACTTGCAACCGATTCTATGTTTATGAAATTATTATGGAATATTGTAAATATATTTTAAGCTTACAGTCTTGTTTTGCCAAAAATTTAAACAATTAAAAAACAATTATAAGTCCAAACTCCCAAAGGGTGCCTCATCAGTGAATAATGCTGCATTTGTGGTGACTTGTAAGTGGTAATTTGCAAGTTGTAATAATGTCATTCCCCACCCCGGCAGGTTCAACGTGTGAAGTGGAAGAAAAACATGTACACCTCTACAAAAACGTGTCTTTTGTTGCTCTGTCAGAGCATGTAAATCTACTCATAAAAAGTGACTTTAACCACGCTTTTACAGTTACAGGCCTGAGTGGCTATTGGCACTGTTCTACTATAGACTTCAAACATTCATGTAATATTTTGAACTGAAATTGCAGTACAACAACATAGCGAGTAGCTTAGCAAGAAAGCTAGCCAGTGGACAATAGCAAGTAGAGTTAGCAACAAGCTAACTAATGTTAGTGAAAACTCTAATGTTGATGATGACCTTTTCAAAATAGATGAATAGATTTGTGTGGTCAGTGTTATAGATTTAACCAAGTACTGTGTCTTTACATTAATTGATATATAGATCTCTATATTAATCTATATTAAAAGGGGGACCTTTCTCTGTTCTCTGACTCACTGTTCACAATGAGAGCGGCCATGTTGATTTGATGTCACTCTGTAAACGAGGAAGGAACTGGCAGTTGAGAAGCCTATTCCACATTGACAAGTTGAAGTTTAATGTTGAGGGGCTGTTTTCTGTGGTTTTTACCATTTGGAAGCAGGGAATTCTAAGTTACATACTAAACAAGTAACTTTCTGAAAAAGCTTTTGGCATTTAGTTGCTAGCTATGGATCTATTGAGGTGAAATTGTGTTTAATTTAAAGAATGACCATTACTGAATACATTGAGGTCACAAGTAAATATTATTTAATTATGTTGTGGCTACAAGATACCAAAATCATGGCCACTTGAACATACAACTTAATATGTTGTTGGAATATCACACTAAATACATGGCCTCCAGTGGATTATTTGGTGGAATGAAAAAGACTATTCATTTTGTGAATTTGCTTAAGGTGGCTTGGGCTGTTGCAACAATTGATTGAAATTTACAGTATATTATCAATCAACTCAGCGTTTAAATTCCTGTAGCCAAAATGGTCTACTTCAATTGGTTTCTCTGTATATCACTCATTTTAAAATACAACAGTTGCTAAGTTAAGCATTTTCTGCCCACAAAATAAATCTCAAGAAACTTACCTTGTGTCCTTAATATATTAATTTGCGGCCACCAAATAACCATCATGTCACCTCAGACTATGTTCGTACTAGCAAGTACCTCATGAGAAAATGAGAACTAGTAGTAGTTATATAAAGCTAGCTAAAGCCAACTATTTGAGCACATTAAACAAATGTACTAATCGGTGTGAAAATTGGTCATTTGATTTATGTTATGTGCAGATTAGCCAACAAATTAACTGTCCTAGCTAATGTATGTACACTCACCAGAAGCACCAACAATTTCTGCTACTTCCTTCCAAAGTTTAATTTGTAATGTCGCTATATACATTTAATAAGAGGTTGTATATTACAGGAAAAGTAATCTCAATTATCTTAATTGTGAAAAATCGCAATTCAAGTAACTCTGGTCCCGCTGTTGTGCAGGTTCATCTGTTGCTGTGTCACCCACTAGTGTGAACTTTAGTGCATTAGCGGTTTGTTAGTTGGCGGCTACAAAGTTTATTATTTTTGAATAAGGCACTCAGATTTATAGCTGAAATGGTTTGTACTGAAAAGATACTACAATGCATTTCGAGTCAAGAGAGGAAGTCATACGTGTACAGATATGGAGAGTGTGGCCAGTATTGCTAGAGAGAGCTGTGTTTACTGAATGTGAACGTGTGTGACAATATGCTTAATTATGCTAAATTGCTTTGCTCTATAATTATCTGCTTCAGCTTGGGGGAAAAAATGCACATTTGTGAGTGAATCAATGGCAGCACAGTGATTCTGCTTTCTCCAGTTCTACCCTTACAGTATTCTCTCTCTCTCTCTCTCTCTCTCTCTCTGTGTGTGTGAGTGAATGGCTGGAGGCAAGTTAGAAAGAAGAGAGCTTTCTTGGAATACATCAAATACAGGTGAATAAAATATGGATCGGTATGTGGCCTGACTGCTCGGACAGTACAGAAGCTGCATGTTTGTGTGCAGGTGTGTCCTAAAATGTGTTCATGTAGTTTTCACTTTTACACTCTTGAAATAATAATAATAATAATAATAATAATAATAATAATAATAATCACATTATTCACATGTGAAATTTACACATGTGGTTTTTTTGATACTTGACATTTTCC